GAAAAGCGACTTAGCTAAGTTATAAATTAATGTAGGACTTCTAAGAGATTTTTTCTCCCCAAGCATCTGGCAGAAATAGTGTTTTGACAAAGGTTTGTTGAGAAACATTGCTCCAAAATGTTTGTTCTAAATTAGAGCCTTATTAAAAACCCAAATTGAGGGCAAGTAAAAAGTTGGGGCCACAAGACTTATAAATTGCTGTCTGGCATTCCTTCTAATTCACCTGCTTATATCCATTTCTTCTCTGAATTTTAAGTTTGAGCTTTTTTTTTCCCCTTTTTGGTACCGGGGATCGAACTCGGGACCTTGAGCTTTTGAGGCAGGCTGTTGAACCACTAAGCTAAATCCCCAGCCTTTTTTTCCTTTTTAAACTACAAAGGACCTTGTGAATTCATAAGCACCTGAGTAATATGTAAAGATAAACATTTAGGAAAGATCAGTCCGGCTTACTGATATTTTAGTGAGGAGAAAAGAATTGTAACTTCAGAAGCAAAAAGAGAAAAAATGTACTTCATTAAAAAACAAACTACCGGGGATTTAGCTCAGTGGTTCCGCCGCCTGCTCTGTAAGCACAAGGACCTGAGTTTGATCCCCGGTACCAAAAAACAACAAAACAAAAAGCAAAACAAAAAACAAACTACAAGCAAAAATTGAGCTCTAGTTAAAATAAGTACACCAGAGTTTGATGAGAAGTATCTGAAATGCAGCCTAAAAAATTACTATTTGAAATGCATCAAAAAATAGCATGAATTGATAAATGGATAAAGGAATATGTGATAAAAGTAACCACAGTCATATGTTGTTGGTAGAATTTAGATGGTGAGTATAAAATTCTTAGAGTCTCATTGCTTGAAATTTTTCAGAGTAAGATATTGGAGCTGGGTATGGAGGTGCATACCCACGATCCCAGTACTGGGGAACCCAACGCAGGAGGATTGTGAGTTCAAAGCCAGCCTGGGCTATATAATAAGATCCTGTCTCAACACTTCCCCCCACCAGAAAAGGGGAAAAAATGGAGAAATAGAGAAAAATGGAGGTCTGGAAGAGTTTGAAAGAAAGACCAATAAGATTTAAGAGAACTACTTTTGGTAGTGAAAAAAGCATGGACCTATTAGTCAACAGTGCTGCCTTGGTTCACAAACTCAATTCTTTCCATGATCCTTCCTGGTTGCAAACCAAACTGGATGAGAACTGAATCAAATTTCCCCAAAAGGTCAACATTGAACCTATCCATTGAATTTAATTCAGCTCTAGTCCAACTCAATTTGAGACAAGAATTGTGGAAAGAATCAAGTTTGTGAACCAAACCTGAATTCTCATTGTGGATTAAGCTATTTATTAGCTACAGGAGTTGAGTAAATTCCTTAGTGGTGGTGCTGGAATCTGCCAGGACCCCTGGTGCCAAAGCCTGCTGTCCACCTTGTAGTATCACGATGATTCAGTCTTCTTTCTGTGTCTGGTGAGTGGTAGACGTTCAAGTGATAGCTGTTGTTATTAGTGTGGCATTGGCTATAGAGAATGAAGAAGTTTGAGATTTTAATGCTTGACTAGGAAGATTTATATGACATCACTGCTGGTGTCATACATAGGTAAGTTGGAAAGTAAAGCTATTTGTGACAGTTTGTTTAATTTTATTATTTTTTCCTCTTTATAATTTAATGAATCAGTGTTATCTTAGTCAACAACACAGGCAACCTGCATTATGTAAGATATATAAAGTGGAACTAGAAATCGTCCAAAAGCTTTGAAAAACTAGAGCTGAAGACTTTCTGCATTTGTAAATTAATGGCTTTTGAGGGGGATGAAGATCTAAGGTACTTAAAAGATAATCTTAATATCTTAAAATCTGTAATGAAAGGGAAAACCTACTCATACTAATTCTTAAAACTCACAAGCTAGAGGCCGGGAATTTAGCTCAGTGGTTTTGGTGCCTGCCTCGAAAGCACAAGGTCCTGAGTTCAATCCCCGGTACCAAAAAAAAACACCTCACAAGCTATAGTAATGTAAAACAAATTTGTCATTTTGGCTGATATTCAGTATTTATACATGCAATATAAATTACACATATGTATACCAGTATAACAACATACAAAAATATTGATGTGTAAAATATTTATGATAGATAATATTATTGCATTTAGTGTCATTTTCTTGAAAATTAAAATCATCAAATCCTTTAATGTATCAAACAAACAATGCCAGTTCAGATTAGAGAAAATGTATGCCAACACCAGCTTTTGACAATAAAAGCAAGGAAGTGAAAGCCCTACCTACAATTTGTCTAATTTAGGTCAGGTGACATGAAAACAAAAGGATATTAAAATTATTTATAATTATACTCACTGAAGGAAAGCATGATACCAGAGTTCTTTTCCACCATAAAATTATTTAAACCCATTTATTTAGGTAGAAATACTAGCTACTGGTATACTCCATTTGTAATAATTTCTCAACAACAATTGTCTTATATCTGGAGCATGTAGAGGAAAATAATGCTTCATAAGTGTTTTTTGTTCTTTTGAGTCTCAGTTCTTTTGAGTTTAAGGTACTTTGGGAGAATCCTTGTGTTCTGGATGGCCTGATGAATGCACTGAAATCAAGCAGTGTGTTGGCCGGGGATTTAGCTCAGTGGTTCCACCGCCTGCCTCGCAGGTGCAAGGACCCGAGTTCGATCCCCAGTACCAAAAAAAATAAAAAAAATCAAGTATGGTGTTTGTAAACTGAAGATATTCTTAAATCATACAAATGTGTGGATTGTGGAGTTCAGATTTCTCCTACTGGCACTATGACTTTTGAAGCACATTTGTTATGAAAGTTTCACACCGATTTTGTTCTGTTCCTTCTTCATTAGCCTCTCTGCTTCCTTTTCCCTTTTCTTCCTTTGTTCTACTGATTTCTTTTCTCTGTCTGCTAGTTTTTGTTGCCTCAGAACTTCTTTTGCTTGCCAGGCTGCATCTTTTTCCCATGCATCGATATTTACTTTCCAGGTATCCAAGTCACCTAATTCAGAAGAGATCAGGCGTGTTCAGGGTGGTATGGCCATAGACAAGTCACCTAATTCAGAAGATTGATGACTAAAAGGCATATCTTATGTAACTTCTAATCTACTGGAGAAACTTGTGCTACCATCTGGAACGCCAAAATTTAATGGTTCTCTCTTCTTAGTAACAGTTTTCTGAGTTTTCCTTATAGTAGGTGTCGTGTCCTTAAAGTATTCAGGTTCCAGTTGCTCCGAAGCATTCTATTGTGTGGCCACATTTCTGTTCCCTTCTTCAATCTTTGCACTTGTGGGGGCATCTTCATCCCAGGATGTTCAGTCTTCCACATCTGTCTGCCTAGGAACTGATGAGTAATCAATGGTAGTTGGCAATATAATTTGATCTCCACTTAGTTTCTTTCCTGTGCCAGATCTACATGTTAATCTTTTCAGAAATGAAAATACTGTTGCTAGGCTGGTGTAAACTTTAAATAACTGAAACTGAGTGATGGTCATGGTGGGAATCAAAGCCTGCCCCTCCGCTGCCTGCCCAGTGGAGGCTCCAAGCTGCCAGTCTCTTCCTCAAGCTCCACGTGTTCAGCTCCACCCCTGCTCCTTTAGAGCTTGGCATGTGCTCTGTCATGGCCAGCAATGCCATGTGCAGCTGCCATGGCCAGTGTTAGTTTAATTTTAGGTAAGTGAAACTGAAGATTTTTATATGGGTAGTTTCATATATTTTCCTAAGGTTCAACAAATCATTTTAGAATGTCTTATACAACAGCACTGCTGCAGCTCAGTAAATGAAATGGACAACAATCTTCCCTGGCAGAGTTTACATTCTAAAAGGATTTGGAGAATTATCTTTCCAAGGATATTTCTACTTCAGACATATAATGACACTCCAAAGGTGAAAACACAGGCATTCGGGCCCGGGATTTAGCTCAGTGGTTCCGCCGCCTGCCTCGCAAGCGCAAGGTCCTGAGTTTGATCTCTGGTACCAAAAAAAAAAAAAAAAGAAAAAGAAGAAGAAGAAAACACAGGCATTTACCAGCCAGGGAAGAAAGTGTTGTTTTTACAGCAAACTTCTGATGTCGCTGACATCACACTGCTTTTTCTCAAACCCATCTGTGTTCTGATTTCCTCTGCAGTTGTTTTTTACTTCATCTGGAGCTGGTGGAACAGCTTCTAGAAGCTATTGATGATTCAGTTTTGAAATACATTCTCTGGGTTCTAGAGTGGCCCCAGCATGTCTAATCATAGTTGCTTTTCACAGGAAGGAAGACTGAGATGAAATCTGTCATGTTATACATAAAATAGGGGACATCAAGCCCTACCTTCTGGTCTCACTCATGAATCATGTAATTTGTTGAGGCTATGACTTCATACCCTGCTAGGGTGTGTATATCCCTGTGATTATGCACTTCTTCCAACAAAGTAAGAGGTCAGTCAGTAAAAGTATTTATTGAGCCAGATTCTTCTCTGCTTCTGAGTCACTTTCTGGTAGAGTAAAGGTTCTGATAGAGAAGTGTTAACTGTTTCATGTCATAAGAACTAATGTATAACTGGGTAGCTCCCTAGGTTTATGCTAATTCTTGATATTTTAGATAATGAGATATACAGTGAGATGAAATTTGAGAAAAAGATTTAAGAATGAAAATCATATCTATGTTGGCCCATCCCTGAAGAGTTGTTTTACTTTTATTTTTATTTTTTTTCTTAGTGAAGACCTTTTAATTTTCACAGAGCCATCTACTTTTAATTTAAGCAACATTTAAAAACAACTCATTTCAACTATCTCCTGTACAAAATATTTTTGTCATGGCTGCCCAGACTAAATACACCCCACAGTATCTCTGGCAAAAGAATAAAACAGCTACCGGGTCAAGTTCCTGTTGAAGAGTTAATTAACTTCTCATTCTAGCACTGAACAATTTCAATGCGGTTATGAGACTTGGGAGAACTATTAGATTACAAAGAAAAGGTTTCTAAGTATTTTTAAGTTCATTTTCTTTTTTAATTATAGGAATGTCTTTACTCTCATCTAGCCAGTGTTGAGCTGATCAACAAACATCTAGCTAAACATCAATCTTAAAAGTCAATCTGGTGATCTTACTCAATAAGAACTTTAAGGTATTTATGTTTTATGGATGATTTTGACTTAAATATAATTATAATGTGCAAAAAGATTATCTGGCTGACAGTACTGTCAGTGCCCAACTTTTGTTTACTTTTATATGACCTGATGCATGGAAACTCAAGTTTTTAAATATTTAGTTGACTTAATTGCAAGGGAATTCAATTGACACCAAAAAATTTCCCAAAATGATTCCCTGGCTATCCTCATACTTCACACCCTTTCAATCAACAGAACATTAAGTGATAATAATGCTCAAAACTAAGTAGTAAGTGAATGGACTAAGATGCTTTTTGAAGTCACTAGATGACCTGCTAGAATAAATTCTGTCCCTGGGTTGGAGTTGTTTTAATAACATATATAGCTAAGAGGTTTACAAATTATGTTTGATGACATGTGGAACTCTGACATCAACTTCAGTCCTTTGGAAGATAGCCAGAAAATAAGGAGCCTCAGAGAACACAAGAAATAAGTGTTTAAAAACACTAGCACAAACACATGTCCTTTACTACCTCAGAAGAGTGTCAGTGTGCCATTTAGTGCTTGTTTAACTTTTATTTATTTGGAAACCTTTATTAATTGTGGTGCTGTGTGATCCTTCCTCCCCAACGTTTTGTCTTCAGCAACCCAGAAAGTGTGTGTGGAAAAGTCAATGGAGGAGATAAACTGTGAGCATAGGATGGCTCATCAAGAGAAGGGGAAAAGTTACACAATACTGAGATTATTAGAGCACGTATGGTTTTAATCAACTTTTGTCAGGGTAAGCTGACATCAAGGGAGAAAGGTGAAAGGTTGTACAGTACATAGTACAGTAAGGTATGGTCTTTTTTTTGTTTTTACTGGAGACCAAACTCAGGACCTTGCACTTGCCAGGCAGGCAGTGTATAGTCTTAATAACCAAAGAGTAAATTATATTCAGTGGCTTCTATGGAAGAAGCTGGGGAGGTATATAATGTATCTATTTCTAAACATGGTCAAAATGAACCAAGTTTTGACATGTTGAAATGGGAAGTTCTGTAGTGCTTCTGTACTTAAAATAGCACATTCTGCCTTGAGCAGTGACACAGATTTGGGCTTATAGTTGATTTTGAAAATGGTTTATAATAATTAGTAGTATCTGTTAAGCAGCTACTATACCAGCTCTGTCCTAGGTGCTTTCACCAGTCAGTATCCTGGTGAAGACTTTGGAGACAGACTTGTAGTCCCATTCCACTTTGACTTGTGTGACCTTGAACCAATGATATCACTGCTCTGATACCATCCTTACCAACCAAATAGGAGCCAATAATATAGGATAGGGTCATTGCAAGGACTCAGTGAAGGAAGTACATCGCACAATGCATGGCATATAATAAGTATTCAATAAATATTAGACATTGTTTTTTGAAACAGGGTCTCCCTATGTAGTTCAGGCTGGCTTGAACTCACTAAGTAGCCCAGGCTGGTCTTGAACTGACAGTTATCCTCCTGCCTCAGCCTCCTGAGTGCTGGGATCATAGGCATGCACCACCATGCCCAGTCTAGACATTGTTATAATTCTTTTTATCATTGTTCTCATCTTACTGATTATTTTGAAAATGTTATCTCCAGTTCTTACGATAAGGAAATCGAAGCAGAGAATATAAATAATATTTCTAGTGTCAAATAGCTGATAAATGATGTTTCTGGGATTTGAATTTTGTTTTCTCTGCAAAAGCCTAATGCTTTACATTTCCATTATTCTGCCTTCTTGGTGTGTAATTATAATTCAGTTTTTTTGAGACTTAATAAAATCTACTGGCTGGGGTTTAGGTCTGTGGTAGAACACTTGCCCAGAGGCCTAGAGTTACTGGGTTTGATTCCCTAGCACCAGAGAGAAAAAAAGAGACAGAGACAGAGAAGAAAAAAGAGAAGATAAAACCTGTGACAAGAAAGGACAGAGGATGTGGGAAATGTTACTAGCCACTTCTCTTTTCTACTGTGGCCCCAAGTTATTTCATTACAGAAAAAAAAGTTCTAGTAATAGTACAAAAATAAGCTACTTTTACTTAACAGTATAAATTAATTATGTAATGTTTAATTATGTTTCTTGATTTATTAAAATCTTCTAGGTAATCCATATTTCTATACCGAACTGTTTATTAGATTCCTAAATATATTTTCCGCATCAGTGTTGTTTTGTTTTTGTTTGTTTGTTTTTTTGAGAGATAGGGTCTTTCTTTGTAGTTTGAACTGGGTTTGAACTCAGTGTGTAACCCAGGCTAGTCTCACACCTGGGCATTCATCTTGTCTCAGCCTCCCAAGTGCTAGGATTATAGGTGTGTGCCACCACACCTGGCTCCGCATCCGTGTTTTCTTAGGTTATAAACTTAACAGAGCTACAACCATCTTTTTGTCATTAGGCACCTAGTGCCTTTTGATGTGATTGTAGTTGTATGTGAGATGAATGTTAGAATCCTCATCTCCACAAACATCAAATGGGGTGAATGAAGGAAAACAGACATCGAGCCTGGTCAGTCTGGAGGTCTTCAGCTGCTCCACATAAAGGACCTGAGGAGAACACAGTTCTGATCATGGCTGGTTGTTGCCAGGTGCACATGTGCATGTCCTTGTTTTCTGGTGGTTAAACACATCCTTAGGCTTCCTGGGCACATGTATCACAGTGATGGGCACATCATCTCATTGTACCACAGATCCATAACTATATAAGGCCACTCTGACATTGGACCATGGGCTTCATTATACCAGAATCATGTTCTCCATCTGGTATAATGCACTAAAAAGTCATCTGGAGGCACCATTTTTTGTTGTTGTTGTTGTCTTTTTGAGACAGGGTCTTGCTATGCATTTCAGGCTGGCCTTGAACTCACTTTGTAGCCCAGGCTAGCCTCTAACTCACAGCGATCCTCCTGCTTCAGCCTCTGGGATTCCAGGCATGCACCACCACACCTGGCTTTTATGCATTTTGAATCTCGGCCTATGAGGCATGGTCCTGTTGCTGTTCGTCAAGTCGTGCTATTTTTTTTGTAGGTACCATCTTCGGAGGTAGAAGCCAGAGTGCTCTCATTGTGAGTCCTGGCCCTGCTGCTATGAGCTCTGTAAAATGAACAAATTAGGTTTTCTAACCTTGCTGAACCTTAACTCTAATCTTTAACTTGATTATGGGAAATATCTGATATAGTAAATACTATAGTAAGATAATAAAATAATATAATATTTTAACTTAATTTAATATAATATTTTAAATAATTTAATATTTTAAAAGTATATATTGTATGGTACTTTTTTGAAAATGCTAAATTCCTTCCTGCCCTCTTCAGGCACTTTGGGAAGCCTACATTTGCAGACTTGGATCTTTTTTTGTCACTCAGAGGTATAGGTCATGCTTTTGTTTTCTTTTCAACTTCTGAAATACTTTGAAAATCAAGTGAAAGTATGTGAAGAAATTAACATTTTAAAGAAGTAAATGAGAAAAAGTACTTTGATTTTTTTTAAAATTACAAAGTACAAATTGGCTTGGCTTTGACTTCATTTTAAATATCTTTATATTTTAAGCTTATTCTGGAGAAATAGATTTGTTAAATCTTAAATACTGGTGCTCTTACTTTCTTTTGATCTGTCTTTCTAGGTGATGAACCATGGAGACTGGCTCAGTGGTCCGAGCCGTCTTTGACTTTTGCCCTAGTGTATCAGAAGAGTTGCCGCTCTTTGTGGGCGATATCATTGAGGTGTTGGCAGTGGTGGATGAATTTTGGCTTCTAGGAAAGAAGGAGGATGTTACAGGTGAGAGGTTCATAATTTCTCCTGTACACAATGGACCACAGCCCATCTCTCCTTTCCACACTAAAAATAAAAGTTCAATGGGAAGCTCACATCAAAAACTTAAGAGGCCTTTTGTGTTTTTCTTCTGTATTTATATCAGGGTCTGTACCTGTGAGGAGATAATTTTTGTTATCATTTCATTGCTCCTTCTTGATTCATTTAGAGGGTTGGATTGTTAGATACCAGCTTCCCCCAGCCTGGTTTTCTACAGGTGTCATTCCCTTCCCCTTTCCAGCTTATGATCCTTTGACTTCAGTGCTGTTATCTAGAGAGATACACATTATCTCTTTCTTCAGAACCCCTGTTGTTGATTGTGGCTTTCACAGCCAGATTTGCCTCTGGTTGATCAAACATAAGGTGCTCTGTACCTTGTTGCTCTGGTTATGTTCTTTTAACATTTCCTATCTGTCTTTCATTCTTCTCAAGGAATTGTGATTCATCCTTTTTACTCCTTGCTAGATCTCTGTTGACCCAAATTGATTAAAGTTACCCTCTGCCCTAGAAGCTATGCCCCATATTTCATGCTCCTGGTTATCTTTCTTCTGTTTTTTAAAATATATGTTAACATAGCCAGGCATGGTGGCACATTCCTGTAATCCCAGCACTTGGGAGACTGAGGCAAGAGGATTGCCATGAGTTTGAGGCCAGCCTGGGCTAAAAAGTGAGTTCAAGGCCAAGCTGAGCTAAATAGTGAGACCATATCTCAAAAAAA